CTTAAATTCGCTCAATAAAATTAAATAAAAACACTTCACTTTTTACTCGTATATATGTATATATATATGTAAGCGCCTAACGGCCACTTTATTATATATATATATGTGTATATAAAAAAATGCTGTAACAAAATGGTATATAAAATGATTAATAGTAGAGGACCTTACTTGTGGATTGCTCGGAGTTCTCTTCCAAAGTGGCAGAGTGTTGGGCGATCGCAGAAGGCGAAACCTAACATCCGAGGCGGGTAACAGGACTCGAGAAAAAGGAACTCGAGTAACGAGTAGCTGTTCCCGCTTAGATCACAGCGACATCTACAAGTGAAATTCTCTACTTCATAAACATACTTAAGGTGAAGGGGGCTAGCGTAAACAACGATTATAGCCGCTATGACCACTGTTATCACCAAATTGACCCCCCTCGCTGTGTACTTGCCTATGTTGATCACCTGTGCGAGCGGTGATACCTGTTGGTTCAAATGTGGAATATACAACGTTGTTGGAAACAGGAAATGTTGAAGTGTCACGCTGGTTTTCTATGACTCCTTTCATACAACTGCTTGTGTTGCAAGCGGTGCTGTTAAACGTACGAAAACTTGCTACGCCATTCACGTTTGTCACACAAGAAGCCTCTGTGACATTAGTTGCTGCAACTTGTTGTATACTGAGGATGTCATACCTTCTTGCTATGTAACGTAGATTTGCTTGTCTTTCCTCTTCCAGACGCTGCAGCTCCAAATTCATATCAAATTTGCTATTGATCTTCGAGGAGTCAGTTACCCCATGGGTATACCCCATGTTGTCCATCGGCTGTGCATTACTTGTAGTTGGATTTGTTGTTGTTGTAGTTGGTGGTTCCATATTAACGACCGTACTATTTTGTGTACATTCGTTGCAGGCCCAGGAGGACTTCTCAATGCCGTCTGAGACACCTGCGCACTGAAAGTGAAACCACTTGTCACAGTCATCACACTGAACCATTTTGCCCTCTTCGGGTTCCTTGCACACTCCGCAATCTACCTCAGCTTGTGAACGAACGCTCATTGTAAATTTTTGCACCACAAATTTTTTAAAGAAATGTTGGTCCACCAACTTTTAAGAGCACCTGCCTTCTAAGAATCAAACGCTAGTTTCCAGTTGACAGTAGCTTTAAAAAACTATTTATTAAGGAGAGCAGTATTAACAAACAATTCAATTACTGGCAAATATGGTTCTTACTTTGGTTTTCCGATACAATAAAATAAGTATAATATGCAAAGAAAATGGTAGTTCAATTCAATTTCAGCTATCGTCGCGTTGGTGTACATACACGCCGAAGGTTGTATTTTAATTGCCAATTTAAGGTTGCCACACTTTCACTTCTCGTTTTAATAATAAGGCGGTGTTGCAACAAACTCTAAGGGCTTTACTTCCCATGGCATTTGGAGACCTTCGGAGAAGCCCTCCCTGATGAATTGTTTTTTTTCCAAGTACCAAACCGACAGAAACGCCGTTCGCGTCTACGTAACTGGATCATTTCAGATTTATTTTTAGCCAAGGACAGTAACTATTTAGATAGAGCGGCATTTCAAAAAACTGTTTGGATAGAATTTTTTATGTTGCCACTGGATCGATAAAAGCCTTCGCACCTGCAGTTCTAAAGCCGCTTCTAGGATGGAGTCCTCTCCATATCCTTTATTCCAGAAACATCACCCACGTTAGGATCGGTGGAAATTGGGTAGGCGGACTCCCTGTCCCAGATCCCAGATACATTGGTATACGGAAGGATGGAAAACAGAGCAGACGCAGGTGTATATGAACTCCGCACCGAACTGTCCTTATGGGTAGAAGAGCTACGGTGTGCCAGGCTGAAGTTTTAGCCAAATCTGCGCCAACTTAAACTTTAAGAAAAGGGTTTTAAGGCGCAATCAAGCAGCCACCGGGCCCACTCTAACAGGATGATGCAATTAAAACAAACTTATTACAGACTGCTTTAGCGCTATTCAAACTCTGGCAGAAAAAGTACAATAAGTATGTGCTGGGTTTCGGGCTTTTACGGGAGCGAATGTAATGTAGTCGCTGATGAGTTGGCGCAAGAAGGAGCCTTAACCACCTTTTTAGGACCGAAACCAGTCTGTGGTGTCAGTTGGTTCTCTTCGAGTCATAATTACTGCGTGGGTACATTCTGAACCCAGTACGTACTTGGAGGCAGAGGTGGCCAGAAACAGGCCAGACTCTTTGGCTACCCTTTCATTGGGATCTGTTTTTGTTCAACTACCCGTAAATAGAAATGATGATATCAGGCTACTCTCCGGACACCTAACGGGCCACAACCAACTACATATTCATTTGCACCGAATAGGTGTTATTGGAGAGTCGGAATGCCGGTTCCGCCTTGAAGACGAGGAAGCTTCCGAATACATTCTTTGTGACTGTCTTTGGCTAAACAAATATTTATTTATTTCAAAGCTGGAATGGTCAAACTCTTAAAAATAAGGAATTTCGACTACCAATGCCATTTGAGGATTCGTTAGGGAAGCCAAGGGTGTCCCTGGGATTAGGGAGCGACACGTGACAAATTCTAATACCTCGAGACCAACTAGCGAAAACAAATTCAATAACGTTTTAAGTTTCACATGACCTTCAAAGTCAGGGTGTTTTAATTTTTTTTTTAAATTTTTTCACTTGAAAACAGTATGCAGTGAACTTTTCAAAAATTCATTACATGCTCTTTTTAGGTAAAAAACAACAACAAAAAATTAAAAAAGGTCATTTTGAAGGCCAAGGTAGGCTTTTATTCAATGTGACCTTCAACATTTTTTATATTTTTTTTGCCAAAAAAAAATTAACTCTTTAAATGCAAAATGGTTTCTTTCTCTATCACAGAAGTCGTAGAACGCTATTGAATTTTTTTCGCCTACTCTTCTCGTTCCCGAGATATTAGAATTGGTCACGAAAAAACTTCAATTTCCACATTCTGCGGCCCTTAATGTAGATATACAATTAAAACAAATATATGTAATTATGAAATTTCAAACATTTATTTAAAATTATGTATATTCTACCAACCATATTTGTGTATGCACATGTATGTTTATGTATAATAATCTCTAATTTTACCCTCTCACATCCATTTGCACATGCGATTACAACGTCTAAGACAATGAGAGGGTTGTGTATAATGTCTAAAATGCATTTTACAAATACATCATAATAAATATGGTAAAATAATGCATTCGAGTATAAAAAATCGTAATAATGATGTTAATATGCGTAAAAAATAGACATTGATATACCCAATAAACCGCGGCCTTTTTACTTTGCAATGGAAAACACTTAAACTAAAAGCGCCATATTTCTTGGAAAAATTAATAAAAGGAGAAACGAAATTCACACATGTAAAATGAAATAGAAAAGAGAGAAAATCATTATTAATATTATTCTAAATTCTACTACAAATCACAGCGCGAATCGTTGACAAAAAATATGCCTTCTTAATTTACATAAATTTTTTCAAACGCATTTTGTTTGTTTTTTTGAATGAAGATTTTCAATTGAACTTCATGCTTATTTAAAATTTTGCGCATTTTCAATTCAAAACGCATTTTTTGTTTGTTATTACTTTTTTTCACATAGTATACTTGTGTAAATTCAAAGAGGACGTGTATAATGAGTATAAAAATATAGACATGCTACATATATGTACATATGCACTTATATATAGTGGTATGAATTTGGTTTTTGTGCACCTCATGGAGGTGGTACGACTTAAAAATAAATTCTTTCTTTGCAGCGCTTTTGCGTACATATGTATATGCGTATACATACATACATGCGTTGCTGCTTACTTTCGAGTAACTGATTTTTCTTGTTTGTCCAAATCGTATACAAGCTCTTGCAAGCAATGCATGCATTTATACCACGTATTCGTAATACAAAAGTCTGCTATGCTTTGTTTTTCATTCTATAAATATAAACATACTAACTAAAACTATGAGGCGTAATGATAAAATTAATATTTTACAATAATTTAGAAAAAAATTATAGCCTTAATGCGCCTAATTACTACTACTACTACATTTATTACAATAAACAGTTATGCAGGTATGTAGTTATTATGAATATCAAAAGGTACACTTAGAAAAAAATGTAAAAATAATGAACTAAACCGTTAAACCCAAAAAATGCGTATGTATGTGTTACAACGGTTGTACGCTTAATATGTACGCCTACAACGTCGTCATGTGTGTGTGTGTGTTCTTAATTGAAACTGAGTTTAAACAGTGTAGATGCTTTCTGTTTTGGCACTTCGACTGCTACTTGCACCTGCGCTGCTGCTGCTGCTGCTGCTGCTGTGATTATGTTGTTGCGCAACGTTATTTATACTGTTGGGTGTTTTGTTGTTGTCAGCTGTTGCTGCTACCTCTGTGGTATGTGCCGGCTTGGCATCTGTGCTAAGGGCAGTGTTTCTGTGCTGAGTTTGATTACTATCAATTATATCGATGTTAATTGAAGTCTGTAATGAAAAATAAAAATTGTAATTAGAATTTCTTTAATGCTGTGTGGTAACCTTGATTTTCTTACTATGTATGTATATGAAGATGGTATGCGATGATGAAAATATGCTTTAATGATAAAATGCATACCTAAAAGAAAAATTCGACGGCTCGTAGCACAAATTCTCGAAGTTTTTATACTCGTTAACTGGTATAGACTTGCATTTTTCAAATGTTCGACTGCTATGTATACGAGCCGTTTATTTTGAAAATGGCATAAGTCAATGTTTTATAGAGTTCATGATCAGTGGTCAAAATTTTATTTTGACAAAAAATTCGTGATCAGTGTGTCTTAAAACCTATAAAGTTACAGTTCCAAAAAATATTTTTTTAAACTTTACAAAAATTTACAGTTCATTTGACAGCTGTCAACTGTCAAAATTGTATTTTGGCAAAAAATTCGTGATCAGTGTGTCTCAAAACTTTGAAAGTTACAGTTTAAAAAATACTTTCTTAAACTTTAGAAAAATTTACAGTACATTTGACAGCTGTCAACTGTCAAAATTTTATTTTGACAAAAAATTCGTGATCAGTGTGTCTCAAAACTTTGAAAGTTACAGTTTAAATAATATTTTCTTAAACTATAAAAAAGATTTACAGTACATTTGACAACTGTCAACTGTCAAAGTTTAAATTTGTCATGAAATTCGTGACTAGGCGTGTCTAAAAACCTAATTTGATGATTTTTTTTTTTTTAATTAATCCCAACGGTATTTACCCTCCTTTCCCGGCCAACCGACACGAGGGGCGCAGTCCGCATGACGTACGGAACCTTTTTTTGATTTGTTTTTTTGGTGCCGAGCCGTGGAAACAGAAGTTTGTTAAGTGTCGAGATCTAAAACTATTCAGCTGATTGGATATGCTAAAGATAGTAAGTATTTCAATTATTGGGAGTGGAAATGATAGTTTTCTTTATAGCAAAAATACTTTTTTATTTTTAGAGAAATTGACAGTTCATTTGACAGCTGTCAAGTGTCAAATTATAAATTTTATTGTAAGTCAGTTTTATTTAAAGCATAATAGTCTTTTTAATTTTTCGCGTAAAACAATGCCTCACCGACCACTGTGCGATGGTAAACCGATTTGCAGTTGCATTCAGTTAGAAGTTAGCAACCATTTAAAATAATAGGAAATTACTATTATACATACTTTGTATATGAAATATGGTCTGTCGGGCCAACTTTTGTTAAGCTCAGTATCAGGGTAGCTTTTGATTGAAGAGCAAACAACTACAAGGCTTAAATAACAGCATGGCTAGTACTAAAAATCACATTGCCTCTTCCTAAAAATCGTTTCTGAGCCTTCATTTGGAATAAGCTACAGTGGTTTGGTAGAAAATATAATTTTCCAGTTGGAAATTTTCTTCGGCTTAGTGAACTTAGTAGCTAACTTGGCGAATTTTGCGAATTTTAAAAATTGCTAAGTAATATAAATTAAACTTGAACAGCTAATACTTCGTATTTGTATCCTATGGTAACTATGAATATGTATTCAAAGGTGTCTGCTTGTATGTAAATCACCTACACTGTTGGCATGCTTAGCACGAATGAATGGAAAATTTTTATAAGTCAACTAATTCAACTTTTTAGTCGTCTTTCACCATTGGTTTTTATAATATTTAGATACGCGTAGTATTATGGAATTTCACAACAGACTGTGTCTGCAAAAGCTTGCAAAACAACAATGTGAAATTCATAATTTTTATTGTACAACAAAAAGATTCGGCATAATTAATGACTTTCTTCATAATAGATACCAATAAAAAAAAAAGAAACAGATTCTTAATTGACTTGTTTTTAAATCTAACCTTTCTAGTATGTATGCATGGCTGTATTTATCAATATAAACTTATGTCGGTTCAAAATCTTCCATATGCATAAATTATTTAATTTTACGCAAAAGCAAAAAAAAAAAACGGGAGAAAAATTTATAAAATTTCGAGCGTGAGTAGTGTATATATTATTGAGGCAGGTAATGTTGATATTAAACGTTTGGCGATCATTTGGCAAGCGACAAAAAAAAAAAGAAAAGAACAAAAAATCTTAAAAAAAGGTTATGGCCACGGCTGGCTGAACATTTTTATGTTTTTGTTTTCTGTAGCAGGTTGTTAAGCGTTTAAAAATTGCATTCGTAAACAATATGGTAATTTGTTTGTCGTACCTGCATGAACATATGTACATACATATCGTCACCTGATATGTAAAAAGACGTATCAACATCGTAAATGAAATGAAAAAAGTCGTGACTAATATTTTAATTTTTTTTTTTTTTCATAAAATGATGCGGGGAGTTGTAATTCGATGACATCTATCTTATAAATCAAAAAGTGAATTTTGAATTTTTTATTAGTTATGACTTTTTGCATTTCAACACTGATGTTTGTTACGTCTTTTTGTATTTCAGGTGACGATATATACATTTAATGTACATTTAAATGAAAAAGTTGTAAGATAAGTGTAATTTCGTGCTGAAAACGTGATTTTCGCATCTCGTGCGAAGCATGCTCGCTAGCTTTTAGTCACGCTAGTAGTGGCGAAAAGGAACATTTGTATGTATGTAAGCTACATAGCTTACAATTAAAAATTAAAAAAAAAAAAAATACAAAAATTTAAGAAATAACCACTTTTTACATGCAATTGAAGGCGTTGGAAAACCACAGAACTGCGTACATATTTATGCACAAAATTTAGCTTATTTTTTTCATAAAAGTTTTTGTGAGTTTCGAAATCGAATGCAGTAAAACCTATTGCATTTATTTATATAAGTACAAATTTTTTATGCGCGTTCGCATTTGCATACAATTTTTCTAAGCAACTAATAATTATATTCAATTATAAAATAATTGCATATTTGTTAGGTATGTTCGGGTTATGTATGTACATACATACATATGTATGTATGTTGCGCATATTTAAAAAAAATCAAGCACTTTCTATAAAATTGAGTGTTTAAATATAATTCTGTAAGTGCTACTATTTATTGCAATGTAGTCCCGAAATTTTGGAACTGATCCCGAAATAGAATTTTATTTAAATTTGTAAAATTTTGCCATTTAAATAAAACTAAAAAAAAAAATTAAAATTAAAAAACTGATCCCGAAATAAAATTGTCTTAAATATGTGAACATTTTAGAATAAACCAAAAACAAAAGCATTTTCCTTTATTTGTGGCTCACTAAATTAGTAAAATTTCGTTATTCAAATAAATTTAATTTAATAAATTTTAATTTGTAGTAAGTTAAAAGAGTGATCCCGATTTTTTTTTTAAATGAGTGAAAATTTGGTATTAAACTGAAAACAAAATCATTATACTTTTATATGAGGCATATTTATGATTTATATTCTTTACATCGAAATAAAATGTAGTGAAAATTGAAACACCTCTAAATTAGCTAAAATTTGAAAATAAACTAAAAAAAAAACATTTTCTTTTTATTAGAGGCACATTAAATAAGTAAATGTTCATTATTTAAGTAAAAAAAATTTTTTTTTTTTATTCTGTAGTAAGTGATCCCGACTTTTCCAATGTGTGATAATTGAACAATAAACTAAAAGCAAAAACAATTTCATTTTATTTGAGGCACATTTGAAATTTTTACTTTTTTCCTGAAGTAAAATTCAATTAAAAGTAGTAAAATTTCGACATTTGAATAAAAACAAAATAGTAAGAAAATTCTTTTATTTGAGGCACATTAAATTAGTAACATTTCGTTTTTTGTTACGGGACTGATTTCGTAATAAAATCTGCTTTAAATTAGAGAAAATCTGAAAATTAACTAAGAAAAAGCATTTTCTTTTTATTTAAAGCACATTTGAGATTTTATTTTTTTTTCTATCAAAAAATACTTTTTTTTTTTTGCTTAAAGTGTGATTACAGTTTTAGAAGAATTATGTGACACATGTCATAGCTAAATTTTCTCATACTGTGAGCACGAAAATTAACTGATATTTTCGAAATGGAAAACGATTCCAAAGTGTGTCGAAAACTTTTCTGGGCTGCCAAATTTTCATATTTTTTTATTTTTTTACTTATCAGGCCACTTTACATTTCAAATTTTAATTGTTTTCCCGTGTATAAATATGCCAAGCAGTTAATGAAAATGATCAATTTCGAGTTTAAAATTTCTCAGTAAAAAAATATTCGAAATCCCGAATTTTCGGCTTTGACTTCACTAATACAAGCATATGCCTCACTTAAGTGCAAGTAACTATTGCATATATGTAAGTGCATATTATTTGTTTTTACCCAGACCGCATGCCGCCTAGTCTATGCTTCCGACTAATTTCCGCACGTAGTTTGCCTTGATTAGCTTAAATTGAACGATTTGCCATTGGCATTGAGTTTTTAATTGTAGTATATTAGCACATAGCTTAGACGAGTCAACAATAAGTTGACAATATAGCTGAGATATTTACTCGTTTAGATAAAAAGAACGATATTTGAACACAAAACTGAAAGACAAATGCATCGATTTTATATTTGTTGGATTAGAAAAGTCGAAAAAATCTTAATTTGATATTGATTCGATTTTGGGTAATACGATTACTGTTAACCTAACAGTATTGCAAGTATGTAGTATAAATATTTCCTTCAACAACAAAAAGGCACGAAAAAATGCGAAAGTTTTGAAACTTTTACTGAAGTGTGAAGTTTATGGGAAATAAAATATTTTCCAGTTTAGAATTTGCAACTTTACGCATTTCGAGCAGTCCTCTAAGCATTCTTTTAAGGATCAATCCATATCAAATATTCTTGTCATATAACCAAACAAAAATAAAAAAATTTCGAAAATAAAAAAAAAATCCAATTTTTCTGGATTCTGCAATTAAATTTTTTGAATATGTATATCTATGTACATATATATTGGCAAAAAATTGTTTATACAAAACCTCCAACGATTAGTTGATGATCCTGAAATTTTCAAAGTGGCTTTAGAAATGCATTTTTTAACTAAAAAAAATTGTTTGCAAACTCTGAATAAAGTTATGTTAAACATTTTGATCTAATTTAAATTGACTTTTAATTTACAGTTTGAAGTGAGTTTTTTTTAAATTCAAAAATTCTTATTTTAAAATCATGTTATAGGTATTGTATAAAAAATATGAGCCAAAAATTTATATACCAACAAAAGGTTTTGCTTTTACGATTTTTTTTTTTTCAATATCAAAATTCTGTAGATTTTAAAATTCTAATGTCTATTTTTTCTTTAATTATAATGGTTTTTAAGATACCCAAAAAATTATTTGCGAAATCCAGAAAATTGTGAAATTTTGACTTTCCGATTTTTTTTTTAATTTTTATTTTTATTTTTTGCTTTGGCAGAACTCTTTTTTATGATAAAACAAAGTTTCTAACCCAAAATTCATCTAAACCAAAATTATTTGATTTCCAGCATTGTATTTAGCAGGCGAGCGCAGTCGAATTATAAAGTGAAAAAACTCCAAAGATTCAACTAACCGTAAAAAGCGCATGAAATGATGTAATGGATGATGCAGCACTTTTTTTCAATCATTTTCGACTCACCTCATTTGAAGCCACCGCATAACCTCCCAACGTGCTGCTGCTTATTTGACCATTGCTGAGCTGTTGAGCGCCCGCCGCAGCCGCAGCCTCAAGCTCACCCTCAGTTTCCGCACCTTGCCGCTGTTCCAACAAACAGGGACATGTGGATGAATTGTGACTGCATAGCGATGAGGATGCCGATGAATTGCTAACATCATCATCATCATCATCATCATCATCACTCTCCGAATAGGATAATGCCGGTTCCAATTCCAATGCAAACGAACTGTGACGTTGCTGTGAAGCAGCCATTTCCTTATACAACAAATCTACACCAGCCTGCATAACTTCATCGTCATGACGTGTAATAACATTCGTTTCATGTGCTGACGCTTGCTGAGATTTTTCATGTTGATGCAACAATTTCATTTCACATGGCTTATAAACATCATTGCAATGAACATTGTTGACGCCGCGCAACATATTCACTTTGCTGTATTTACCATCGGAAATTTTATTCAATTGTGACAAATTCGACATGCGTAGTGTGGCGCGAGTAACAGCGTACAGTAGGAGTGCAATACCAACTACCAGACTACCCCAATAGCCGATGATATCGAGATAAGGCAGAATGTTGAGATAGAAATTGAAGCGTGTATCGAGTGATTCGGGCAATTCGGGCATCATCTGTGAGGAGTGGAAAAAAAGAAGAAGAAAAACAATGCTATTTTAGTTAGTTTTTGTGTAAGTGGAATTGTGGTTGTTATGACAACACTTACGATATCGAACCACAGCATGGGCACTGTAAGATGACTGAAACGGCTGACTTGTCTGAAGGCGTTCATATCATCGAAATGCATATTGATTTGGACTTTGGCGGATATGGAGAGCGGCAAACCGGATTGCTGTCGGGCGGATGGGGGGGGTTGAATGAGAAGAAAGAATATTAATTATAATTAAAATGTCAAAAATATGCGAAAAAGGCTTTTATAGAAAGTGTATTGAAAACTAGTTTTCAATGAGTAAGGAGGCGGCAAAACGTTTATTTATTTAGTAAGCGGTGATCTCACTTAACCTATGATATTTGAAAAAAAAAAATAAAAAAATACCAATTAGGCATACTTTTTATGCAATAATTTTTAAACGTTTTCAATACCGTTGCCCGACAAGGTATTTTGTAAAATTTAAATACAATAACAACTGGTTTCACTAAGTGCACAAAATAAAAAAACAAAAACAAAATCGCTTAATATAAGCTTTTAAGTGCATTTAATGTAGCGTTAGCACATCCTTGTTCATCGCATTTGTTGTTTTCATTGTTTTTTTAAGCTTTTTTGCGGCCTTAGTAAACGCCTTTCAGCAGCACATACTGACACAATTTCAATGGTGGTGCGACATAATTTTTTATGGCATTGACACAATTAACAAAAATGCAATGATTAAATAGCTGAAATAAAAAAAAAAAAAAATACCAATGTAGCAGAGCGTATTTGTGTGGATGTGTTTGTGTGAGTGCTGCGACTAACATTTTTTTTTTCTAACGACCTATTAAAATGCAAAGTTATTTATATATATAAATGTATGTCTTACATATGTTAAGCTATAAAATCGCATCAATATCATATGATTGATTAGCCGGCGTTCGATTAGCAATTAAACACTTTACTTCATACATTTTCTGTTATTAAATAACATTTATGTGTACTTATAATTACCTACGGTAAGCAAGGTAATAAACTAGATTAAGGTATGTAACTTTTAATGAGCATGTGGCGTGTATTTAAAACTTCTTTTCTTGTGTTGTAATAGTGTGGCTTGTGCGAACTGGTTTTCAGACGTTTAATATTCCGAAAGTTGAAAAAATAGCTGAGCATACGATTTTCTAGAATGAGCGCGATTATCACGTTTGATAAAAGAAAAATTTGTTTTACATTGGAAAATTTATTTTACTTTATAAAATTTTTTATTTTATTTTTAATTTAAAAAAAAATTTTATATCAGCGCGCTTATGCGGGAGATTTAAGAAAAAATCTGTTTACATTAGAAAATGTATTTTATTTTAAGAAATTTTTAAATTTATTTTCTTTTAAGAAATTTTTAAATATAATATTTAATTAAATTTTTTTATTTTGGGTTTTTCTATTTATATTTTATATCATAATTTTGTTTTTTTTTTAATAGTATTTTTATTTTGTTTTAATATATTTACTCTCACAAATAAGTTATTATTTTCATTTAACGGTTTAGTTAGTCTCATATAAACTCAAAAACCTGTAAGCTACTTGAACGTCATTAGCACTCAGCAATGTGAATTGCATAGATCATGCTGGCACTCTGGTCTGAACACACTATTAGCCCACTATTCTCATCGATTTTCGATAAATACGGTACCTGCCTATGAAACAGCTGTTTTGTGTGTACGCAAATTTATTTGCAAATCCGCAGCACGTTTTTAGTAACCGAATTTTTGTGCTTTTAGGCGTGTGTAATAGTAAAAAAGACTTTTCGCTAAGATTTAACAAATTTGTGTTTTTGCGGTTCATAAAAATTAGAAGTGGAACTATATTTAAAGAAGCTGGCGATAACCATTCCCTGACTACTTAAGAGCAAATTTCAAGGAAGTATGCAGCACTCAACTAAGAAAGAGGATAATTTTGCGCAAGGCTTCTTCTACCCATGCACATACATATATATACTTATATGCACCCACTACACACGCGCCACACAACGCAGTGATCGACGGGGGAAAAAAGTGAGTCTCCTTAGAAAATTGTAAATCAATTAAGCTGAGATGTTATATGATTAGATTTGAAGGCGTCACTCAATTTATAAAATTTATGTGATTTGCAAATCAAGTTTGCAACAATTTAATGCGAACACTGGAATTGCTCCCACTGCTTCTACATAGAGCAGTGATACTATCTACAAACAAATATTTAACATTTATGACAATACTTGCTAACGTAAATAAACAATTAATTACGCAGTAACTGCCAAGGATAACAACGACCCAATACGATAGTCGTTGCTAGCAACTGCGATTAAGCTAGCAACTTTCTAAACTAAATACATGAAAATGAAAAAAAAATTTATATCAATGAGTAAATAAATTTATAGTTCCGACAGCCAAAACGCCGACGCGTGCGATTTAACAGGAAGTTTGAGAGCTTTTAACTTAATTAGCGCGCTCGTGTGTGAAACTGTCAATGGCTAGTAGCTAATAAAGTTGTATTACTAAAGTGAGTTGCATAGTTAAGCAAATAAATGTACATATATAGCTGAACAAAAGTTTTTTTGCGAGAGGAAGTTGGCAGTAGAAATAGAGAATGACAAGACTGTTTTTCTTTGAATTCTTTAAATTGATTTTATCTAAAGAACTAGACAGAAAATATTTTTTTTTTACAGCGTTTAATAAATTTTATAAATTGTTTTTATATTTTGAGGCATGTAAGAAGCATTTTTTTCAATATTGAAAAAGCTAAATTTTTAAAAATTGTAAAATCAAGTTTTAATTAAAGTTCTTGTAAAATAAGATAAATTTAATATTTTTGTATGCTAGGAAAATTATTCCTACCCTTTCATTCTTCTTCTTCTTCTTTTTTGGCGCTGTAACCGCCTAAGCGATTTTGGCCGAGTTCAGCAAAGCACGCCAGTCGTTTCTCCTCTGTGCCAACTGACGCCAATTGGAAACGCCAAGTGCCAAGCCACCCTTTCATTAGAAACCAAAAATTGTCAAACAATTTTCATATGCACCATTAAAAATAAAATAAAAAAACCGTAATTCATTTTGTGAACTGAACTTTAAATTTCTGCATATACTATGAAACCTCGATATAAGGAAGTTGGACAAATGCTTTGTTAAATTTATAGCATATCAAAACCCCAATACAAAGAAAAATCCAAAATTTTTAATAAAATTCGTTATAAGTATAATTCGTTTTTTTTTTTTATAGCGGGACTCTAACCATCAACATATTTAAGCTTGGCTATGCAGAGGATTTTGAGTCGAGACTTCGTTACATAGAGACTTTTTCTAACGGGACTATAACCGTCTATTTACTACAAAGGTTTCGGTGTTAAAAATTTCTTCGTTTTATCAATGGAAAATTTCGTAATAACTAGGCTACTTCAGGTTCGCTATAACGAGGTTGCACTGTATTATGATTCTTTATAAATTAAATAAACAAGGATTCTTTGCATGCTAATAGAATTAACAAAACTTTTTTAAACTAAATTTATTTGGTTTTTGAAATATTTTATTTACAAAATGTTTCCAATTCAAAGGAAGCGTTTTTCAACTCATTTTAACTTTTTTTTTAATTTTTGTTTCCAAACCTCTTAACCTCACTTCGGAAAAATTTACTAAGCCATTCATCTGCCGATCATGAAAATTCAAAATTTCAACTTTCGGAGATAAATTCGAAAAATAAATAAATAATATTTCAGCAATGCTTACTTGCTTACCATTTTTATTAAGATTTGCAACTTCGTTTCTAACCGCACATTAAAAAAAAAAAATCACTCAACTATTTGCCAGTTTTAGCTGCCAAAAAGGATTAAGATTTAGATATGCAAATTCTAAAACACATTACGAAAGCATTTTTGCCATTCAAATTGTGGTATCACAAAGGACAATCTCTTTATTTGTCCAAGCCAGTTCCTTACTTCTGGGACTGCCACCTAACCTAACCTAACCTACATATATATTATTATGAGTGTAAAAAATCTAATATTTTGTGCATTGTATCCAACACTACCGGCAAGCAATTAATTTCTCGAACAATGAAAATAATTAAAATTACTTAAATGCCCATAAAGTACGTAAACAAAACATTAGCGCCGGTCTTTTGCTGTACTCAAATATGAATACACACACACACACACACACATATGCCCATGTATGTGCTTAGATTGCTGCAGTGCCAACTTTTTTTTTTTTAACCACAACTTTATTTATGGAATTTTTTTCTTTCTAATACCCAAGTCCACACTAGCTAAGCGCGAGTGCAAAAACCTCCAACGCCATTAACTGCCATTTTAATTCAATTGATAAATATTTAATTAATTGCGGCATAATCGAGTGCAATTAATGTGTGCATGACGTCGTGTGGTACGATATTATATAATCTCTCCGCACTTTAATCTAATAACAAATGGAATAATTGGAACAATTACTTGAAAGTTTTTGCCAACTTTTTATATTCTACGCCAACTATTTTACTTTAATGTGCACGCGACATTTTTTGTGCCACTTTTTTTTTTACTTGTTTACAATGATGTGAATTAATTATCTATGTGCTAGAATTTGCGACGTGAAAGAGTAAGTATTTAATGGTTGTTGTTGTGCGCTGACAATGCTTTGATGCCAATGCTAAAATTTGTTGAAATTAAAAAAGTAAAAAGTGAAAATAAACATTTGATTGGCTGCATTAAGTTTTATATGGAGCTCATCTTTAATGAGGTCGTGTGAACAAAAACTTACATCTGTTAGGCGAACTCTTGCATATAAAAGCTTTTCTAACAAATTTAAAAGAATTTCATTATTTTGTAGCATTACAAACTTACCGAGTTTTTATTGATGTTAGTAATCAAATTTCCTTCGCTCAGAAAATTAATAACCAATACCAATATACGCTTGTCTCCACCTCCAACTCATTTGTCACATTCATTTATTCTCTTTCGTTTCACTTACCGGTTGTACAACGAATGCTGAGCTCAATTTCTCTTCATTTGGTTCCAAGCCGGTAATATTATTAAGTAGACCAGGATCACCGTGCATGAAATGTGGATAACTTAGTGAAATGGGGAAGCCATAATAGCAATCGGTGACGTCGATTAGACCTTGAGGTTGACATTTACCTGTTGTTGAGAAGCAAAAAGAAAAAAAAAAAAAAAAAAATACAGTAATGAGACAAATATGCAAATGTGAGTCATGTTGGTAACTTAATACATATATAAAAATAAATGAAATAAAATACAATAAATATGCGAATATAAAGCAACAGGTAAACGCCTATCGCCTATCGACATGGTATAAGCTTACATGTGCATTTAATTGGCTTAGACTTACAATATGCAAGCTTGTACCTTGAAAAGCGGAATACATGCATACATATATATTTTTTTATTTACTTATACTATTTTTTGCCCTTAGTCTTAAGAGATTACACGATTAAAGCAAACAAAAGACCGCCCTACTAGAGCGATTCCAATTGAACCCTGCGTCTTCTAACTAAAAAAAGTTTGGTTATTTGAACCAAAACTACCTTCGGGTGTAAAACTAAGAATGCGATTTACTTTGTCTGGGATCATCTGATGGATTTTAGTACTAAAGTTTATACAAAAAATTTATTTATATTCCAAATATTTACACCCCTAAGTCTCAAGTATTTTTGCAAGGCAATGCGATTTTTTTTTTGGCCTACCTAAGTTTTTTTTTTT